CATGAGTAAGCCTATAGTAGAACGACTGACCAATACCGCGTACGGACTCGAAAAAATTTGAAAAGGAGAGTAGTATGAAAAGGCCGGTTCTAACTCAGGAGCAAAGAGCAAGGGGGAGCAAGGAGCTATACTTTAACACGGCCGCACACTTTAACACTTTAACCTTCAAAACATCCTCGAGCATTATGTATTATCTACCCGCCCGCGGGTCCCTCATCACCCGAACATCTGTGAATTATTCGATAGTTGACATTTGCCTATAGAAATTTATGTAGAAAAAATACTACTGACCGATATTCTTGATCAGGGATGTATTATATATATCAACTATCGGATTATACGTCTTTATCATAAATTTCTATAGGCAAATGTCAACTATCGAATAATTCATAGATGTTCGGGTGATGAGGGACCCGCGGGCGGATAGATAATACACAATGCTCACGGTGACGGTCAACCCAAGTAATGGTTTTATTGCGGTTAGGTGTTATCTTCTTTGAGCACATACATCAAAAGGTCTTATCGTGTATACACGTATATTATCCATAACGGATACAATTTAGGTCCAGTATAATAAAAATCGAGATAATTATTACTCGTAAAGCTATAATTTTGATTATGTAGAAAACGTCTTATCGTCATTTTCGACTCGGGCGGTAAATCATCGAACAGATATTAATACTAACATACGCGACAATAACACTCGGCGACCGGCCGATCTGTTATGTATTATATTGTATACCGACTCGACGTTCGAAGACGCGGACGACAATAAAAATAATATTTGATAATTATTGTTTTCGAGTACCTATATGTGATAATGTTAGTGGTAACTGACACTAAGGAGGGTCCCCAAAAACCATAAAACCGATTCTAGTTCACGATTGTATGCACCCAAAACAATAATAAATGTAACGGACCGAATAACCAAATTCGGCTTGGGAAGTTAACCTAATGCTGTGGAATAACTGATTTTTATAACTGTTACATGCCCACACGCTTATTACATATGTAATATATATATATATATATATATATAGGAGAGCCATAGTCGATTGATAGGACAACTCAGCGTGTGAACCAAAACCGTACCTGGACGAATAGGTATCCGGTGCGATAGAAATTAGTTTAATGCTGGAGGAGCTTCGACTTATATTGTGTGGATATCCGAGGGGCATAGCCCAGACATAAAATCTATTCGCCATGAAATGATAACTAATCACTAATTTTGTACGATTTTGTTGTACATTATTTACATTTTACACACACCAGCCGATGAGTAAAATGTAGATAAAATTACTTTCAGGATGTATACAAAATGTAGATAATACATAGAATAAATAATACAGGTAGTCGCGACTATGAACGACGAGTTTCGGGGGTCCCTCCAATATATAATATATATATATATATATATCATATATAATGCCACCCAAATCACCGTCAAACTAGACGAGTCCACCACGATCAAATGCGATCAACTTCGCGTCACTCCATATTATGAATATTTTTGATTTGAAGTATCTCCCCAGTGAAATTTTCAAATAATAAAAGTCCAAAAATATTTCATAAAACAGAGTGACATGAAGTCGCTCGCGGTTTGATCGTAGCGGACTCGTCTTATTCGACGATGTTTCGGGCGGCGTTGTGTATGCTCGGAGGGACCCTCGCAACCCGTCGTTCATATTAGCGGCAATCTATATTATTTCGTTTATTACGCATTTTTTGTACATCCTGGAAATTAGTTTATTTTACTGTAGAAATTAAACGTTGTCGGGTGACAGTTGTTTTAGGCCTAACCGCGCCCTTGGTAAACTTATAATATTTCATATTTTATTAAATTGCTTCCCAGAAAGGGTGCGATAGCATTTTAATATTATTTCGGTTGTTTACTTTCCTATAGTACGCAAATCAACTACGCACATATACCTATAATAGCGCGTGGCACGTAAACAAGATCATAATCACCGATATTTTATTCTTATCATTTTTCACTATTTTTATCGAGATCTAGAAGTATGAACTTTAAAACATTTGATTGAAAGTTGCGATAAAATATCATACAGGTATATATACAAGGATTGAATGATATACAGATCGAGTCAGCGTCTAAATGTTTTAGGTATAAAAGTATTTCCATTGTATGATACATGTGGAGTGTTGGAAATGGAATTTGAAAACGCGTTAGCACATTAGACAACATATTTTTTATTTTTATTTTTTTTTCGTCAAATATAGGTTAGTAAATTAGTTTTAATTTTGGCGCGTAAAATGTTTATCGCATCCATCTGGTTGAACACTGTTCCATCCAAAAAATATCAGATTGCTGATGTTATTATTATGAATATTATTTCGGTTCTCCCCTATTTTAGTTAAGGCGTTGTCATGTTTACTTCCCGGATTCAACGTAACATAACTTTATTTTTTCTCTATTCTTTATTTAAATTCTCTTGGTCTCCTCCACGGAGACACCAGGACGTGTTTTAGTATTTTTCGAAAACCATTATATTTTATTTTGATTAAGATATGTAATACGTAATTTAGTTAAGCTTGTAAAAATAGATTTTAAGCCGCTTAAATTTATTTCCGAGAACGAAGGCATAGTATTATTTGTGCGGCGGCATTTTATTAGTGTTTTACTACTTTCCCCCTACCTAAACTTAAAAGTTTAATATCTCGTCAACGGGTTGACGGAAATCAAAAATGTTAACACCGTTTATTTAAAAAAATAAATCCGCGTATTTATGGAATTTTTAGCGTATGTTTTAATTTGAAAAACCGAAGTTAGTACCGTCACGTGATATTCCTTAGATGTTGTGCAAATCTAAGTATTCTGAAATATCAGCCTTGACTACACTCGAAAATTCCGAAAATCAGACGTATGCAAAATTTAACCAAAAAAATGCAGTAATCACGCTTAGTGAAACGCCCAGTATATTATACTCGCATAGGTACCTACGTGGAGTTAAACACGTGATCAGACTCAGCTAAAACTGAGACTGGAGGACTTTTCTAGACATCGCTCAATACTTTATTTAATACATGGTTAGTCTCGGTAGTATAGCCAGTGGCGGTTTTACCGGGGAGGCAGCGCCTCCATTAAAAATCGAAAAAAAAAAAATAATAAATATATTGTTAATATTATTTAAATGATGAAATATCGTTTGTTCGTATTTTTTCATATTTTCAAATTGGACACTATCACGACGGGGAAATAAATAAAACGTACGTGAGGTGCTACGGAGCGTACCGTGTCCACCGCGCGGCGTGCACAGTATGCGGATATAATATTGTTGGTACAGCGGGTCCCTCCATGTGTCCCGCGACGACGACGACGACGGCCTCCTAAGAGGCGACCGCCGCCGCCGCCGGTATTTTAAATGTGTGTACACAGATTTACACACGCACAAACTGTACGAGTAGGCGCATGCGCTCTTCTCGGTGGAGCTGCCGGCATAACGTTGTGACCGTCGCCTCCGTCGGCCAACAGCACGGTACCGTAGCTAGCTGAACGGCCGACCGTTATCACTTAATAAGTTTATTATCACGATTGTATGTCAACGTTCTACAACCACGGTTAATGATTTTTGAATAATGTATACGTTTTTTTTCGTAAAACTACTGCTAATTGATTATGTCGATTCAATAGTAAACCTTTTTATGTTTTCATATGGTTATTCAACATAGTCAATTTAGAAACCAAAAGTCGTTATTTTTTATTATTTTAATTCATACATTTATTTATTCATTTTTTTTTTTTTTCATGATAATTTTCCTTTTACATACAAGTGTGGATATTAAATTATTTTCAACTTAAAACTAGAAAGACACTTTATAGATCCGTGTGTCTCAGTTCTGTTTAAATTATAGACGTGTATTGTAGGTATATTATATATTATATAACAGTAAATAGTAGTACAAAACCGTAACTCACTAGTTACTTAATTATGAGAAATAACGAAAGTGAAGCAGTGCTCTGATTAATTTTAAAATACAAAATATGGATTTTAAATAAAACGAATCAGTATTGGAAACTGAATTGAGCTGAACTTAATTGCAAATAATGTATTTTAAATGTTTTCAAAACATATTTTCTATATTATTTTAAAACCTAAAAGTGGCCGTTAAGACATTTTAAAAACGTTTCAGAATTTTTTTTTTTTTATAGTCCGAATACATTTTTGAAAAGATTGCAAAAATATTTTTGTGTTACCTGAGTGTCTAAAATAGTACAAAGTTGTTGTCTCCTCAAAAATTTAATGTTAGAACCGCTACTGATAAATTAATATCTTTATTAAGTGTTGATTTATTTCTTTAAAACTCTATTTTACTTAACATCATTGAAGAGACATTGGCAGAAGGTGTCATACGTCAGATGATAATATTGTACCGTACCACCAGGTCCGGTTCACTACACTTCAGTCATATAATAGTATTTTACCAACAGAACCAGTTCACTACAAGGCTATGTTAATCTGTGTTAAATTTAAAAATCAATTGGTTAAAAGTAATCTCAAATTTGTGATATTTTTGTAAACATGAGTATTTGTGATAATTTTCACATAGCTGCATATAAACATTAGGTATCAGTGACAATTATATTGAAAAATGTCAATTATAAAAATGTATAAAAATATAATTAATTTTAGATATCACAATAGTAAAAGTCCCGCATAATACAACATTGTTTCAAAATATCTTTATATATAGAGGAATTTATTAAGCTTTTTAATAACTCGCCTTAAATTATTAAAGTTCTAATGTCAAATAAATTTCATTTAAAACAAAAGAGTATTTAACATTCAATTATTTCATTCAACAGTCTAATTTACTATTCGTGCAACGGTAATTCTACTTTATTTTACTAAAAAAATTGTAAACTCCCAACTTTCCCCAGAAGTTTTTACTCAAAGATAATAGGTATTGAATAATAATATAATTATAGAATATACATTATATATGTAAACAAATTATAATACGTTTATTATAATTATAATACAAGGCTTTGTTCATAAGTAGATTTATTATTTTATTGCCTACCTATTTTTACATATTATACTATTGTATGTGTATGTAAGATATGTTTTTATTTTTGATTTAATAGCTAAATAAATTAAATTGTGAATAACATGTACCTGGGCTATAAAAAATATATCAATTTGTTTAAGTAATTTACATACTTAAAATTATCATTAAAATCAAATAACTTTAGATATTAGTAAACCATTTAAACAAGAAAATGTATTAATTCAGGTCTTATAGGTACATAATTTATTATTATTAGTAAGATGTAATCTATTTTTGATTTTTCAGAATTCAAAGTAAAAAATTTGAATTTAAAAAAATACTATATTATTATAATAATAATAGATTTCGAAAAAAAAAATGGTCTAGTGGAGAGATATTTCTTTAATATCCCAGTCCCCCTTCCCTCAAATAAACCAGGAAAGATAAAATAATAATTTGATATTTTGATTTTAATTAATTACAATAAGGAAGCATAATATACTGTCCAAACGTAATAATATAATTGTGTGATTATACTTTTATATATTTTCACATTTTTAAAGTAGATAAGAAATTCTATTTTACAATAAATAAGTTTGACACAAATTTGACATAGGTGATATTTTAGATAAATTACTGAAAATTTAGAAAAAATATTAATGGTATTCTATAATTTAATTATTTATTTTATTTCAATACGGATGATTGGTATAACGGAAATAATATAATAAATAGAAATTTAAATAAATTTTAAAATACTAATTCTACTCGGAATCATTTTTAAATTCGATGATATAAATTATTTTTATGTAATGTTTTAATGCAATTTATTTTTTTTAATTTTTACACTTATAAAAATATTTTATGTTTATGAAATAGGTATCTATTCATAAATCTCAATAAAAAGATTATTAAATAAATGATAATATTTTATTGAAACGTCAGATAAAGATATAAGTACATATTATCATGTTTTAATCATCGTAAATTATCATGCCAATATTACTTAATTACTTGATATTGATAAATTTTTATTTTTATTTAAGGTAACAAATAAAATACACTTAAATAGTTAATCTCACTTGATTGATAAAAAAAATAATCATAGATAATTATAAATTATTACTACTATTATATTATTATGATTAAAATTAATACTGAATACTTAATTTAGCTTGTATATCATCAAGAATTTGTTGTAATTCATCGTCGTCAAATCTACCTTCTAGGCTTGGTATAAGTGATTTGGCTTCATCGGCAAGTTGTGGGCATAAGTTACCGATTGATGCTAATTCAAACTTGTGTAACTTCTTACCAGCAAGTAAATTCCTCACAGCAACAATAGTTTCTTTATTTTTAAATTTGGAACACTGTTCTGTGTATGTCAACGTTTTGTTGAATACTTCTGAGAATTCCTGTTCTTCCTCGGCGCTTTCATTTTGGTTCTTGCGAAATTTCAACAACATATTGACCTAAGATCATATTAAAATTCTATTGGTACCAAGTACAACTTTTATAATTTGTGTTTCTTACTTCAGAGATGAGTAACGTTTCAGCATTTTCAAATTCTTTGGGAAATTGCAGTAGGGCTGCGTCTTCGTCGACGGCGGAGTTCATGTGTTGTGCCATAATGATTTGATTTTTGATTATTCAAAATTTATAATCGTAACAATTTTACATCAGAAAAAAAATTTATAGTATAAACATTGAAAATGATAACGAAAAACGATAGTATCTGTCGATATCATTCAAAACTAAACAGTGCGACCAAATATGCGAAATATATGTACCGGCCATATATGGTACGTTCCAGTTAAATTAATGTTGATATTTTGTCATACCTATCCTGTGAAAATATGATTTACTACTTGATTATTACATGGCTAAATAACAATTTAGCATTTTAGCTGTGGTTTATTAAATTAAATCGATTTTATTATGTTTTTTATTGCATCAACATACACACTATAGTCGTAATTCGTTACTATTTTATTGAACACCTAGGTAGTAGGTAGGTACTGGTATAGGTATTTTACCTATTGATAAAAAAACTATGTTTGAGTTACCTAGTCCACAATGAAGTTTTTTTTTCTTTCATATGAGACGTAATAATATATACGAGTATATGCCTCAGCCAGGGACGTCTTCAAACCTTAACTATGGGGAGAGAGGGTGAAATAATTAAGTTTAAAATTAATAATTGATAAGAAAAAAAAAATGGACATATACTTCGCCTGATGGACAGGCCACTGTTGTGGATGAAAAGTTGGGAGAAATTGGATAATTAAGATATAGACGGAAATTTAATGTATACCTGTAGACGAAAATTAATCATTACTAACGAAAAACGATTCTGAACGGAGCTCGGTTAATAGTATTGCTTTTTCAACAATATATACCTATGTCATATGTATAACAGCAAAATAATTATCAAAACAATTTGTATGGACGAGTAACACGATTTGTTCCACATAATATTTTACTAAAATAATTTTCGTCAAAATATGATATTAAAATTCTTATACAAAAACATAATACATTAAATTTAATTTGTTTTGCTTTGGCCGCAAACTACAAATAATAATTAACCTCCTGTTCAATTTTCAAGAATTTCGTCTTTGTCTAACAATTTTATCTACAGAGTACCTACCAAATAAAAATTACTCACAAAACTAAAGTGTCTATACATAGCTTAAATATGGCTCAAATGTTTTTACAGTTTTACCACGTAAAAATAGACTAATATAAGTTTTCTGCTCAAATTTCAAGCCTCTATGAATATTTTTAACTGAATTACAACAAATAACATAATTAAAATAATTATTTACGTAAATTTCCCTTTTTCTTACGTTTTCTCACAGGTTTTCCCAAATATTCTGAAAACCGTTTGGAAAATCAAAAAATGACCTCCTCAAGTACCATCTAGACAATATTTCCTTTCAGAAATTGTACCACACGTACGAACATATTGGTTAGGTTAGGTTTCTGGTAGAAAGTTTTCACATAAAAAAAAAAAATTTAAAAAAAAAAAACATTTGTGTAAATTATAGCACCCAATATTGTGTGTATTAGTGTGTTTTAGAATATATTTTTACATCTATGTAATTGCACACATCTTTTTTTTATATTCTCTATTTTTAATTGTGCATAAACTTTTTTCGTTTTTAGATAGTTTTAATTTTAATGACGCATTTCTGCAGTCTTAACTCTCTGTATAAATGAACTCTTTAATCGATTGTTTTTTCTATGATAATACTTTTATTCCGAAATACTGCCGAATACTTCAAAAAACTATTCGAATAATTTTCAATCTATCGGATAGTTCGAATGCGATTAACTATTAAATCGACTATCAACTATAGTCGGTCGTAACTATTCATTTGTTCTCATAACTAATGATAATATATTGAAAATAACTAATAATATAATATGTTCAAAACGTAGTCGGGATCTAATAGTGGACTTTTTTCCCGATTTTCGATACTCATTGCCAAATATGTACCATTATAATATTGTACACATGTACCTTCTTCAAAGTCTGTTTTTGAATATTAGAATGAAAAATTTAAAAAAAAAAAAAAAAGTTAACAACAACATTGCCAATAGTTTTTACGTGCAGGGTGTTTTAAAAATCTTAAGGTCAGTGAAAATAAACACAAGCGTGTGACAAAAGTTTTAAGTGTTTCTTTTATATTCATATAAATATAAAATTATTTACCTACACGTGCTGTAAAATACCTACTAATAAACGCGCATCAAACGTGTGCATATTCATTTTTTAGTGGCAAATTAATAACATAATAATAATAATTTGAATTTTATATTATATATCTATACTGGTAAGTAAATAAATCCCGGAAAAAAATACCTACCGAAAAATAGGGTGTTTCTAAAAAAAAATGGGAAAGAAATAATAGCAGGCGTTTGTTAATTTGGAAGTATATAGGTTTGTATGGTTTGATAATTGATTATATTTTATTAGTTTGGTGAATGGTGGGTAAGCCACTGTTTTCTGGTGACACTTAACGGAGAAGTTAGACAGATTGCTATAGTCCTAGGTCACTTTGTACTATTTTATTTACGTACCTGTAGAAGTACATAAGTATATACTTAATATTAACAGGTACGTTAACAAGTCATGACAAATTACATTTTTTTTTTATTTGAGTATTGTAAAATCTGTAAAATAATATTTACAATAAGCACAAGTGAAGCTAGTTAACAGTGTACGAGTATCGAGACAGTAGGCGTGAGCGAAGAGGCCAACCATTGTTGAGGGACTTCAGGGACAAATTATATTAAAAATATTATAAAGCTTAGTGAGATTTAAATATTGTATGTTATCTTACATTCCAAATAGGAAAGAACCGTGGATTACCAACAATACAATGTAGCAGGCTTTTGATTGTTTCGGTACCCTGCGGTGGAACGTTTGACCGCCTACTGGTCACCGTAACCGGTAAGCAGTTCACGCACGTTTTTGTCTTGGAGTACCGTCTAGAACGGATATTGGGTTACGTCCTTATGGGGCCTTTAACTCAACATGTTTCTACCGGACCTGCTTTCTCCCAGCCGACTCCAATAACGACTTACGCTACTGGTGACTGTCATCCTGTTACTGGTGCCGACCGCAGGTTCAAAAACAAAGACACACGTTAACTTTTCGCTAAATTTAGCCACCTACCATAAATCTCTTCCCGAAACCGTTACCAATAGCTCGCAAACCGAATACCCGCCGATCAGTGCCTTAAAATACGTACTCGAATAAACAGAAACTGCAACCCCCCCCCCCTCCCGCGAACTCCTTCCCGATACCGTTACCGATTACACATTGACCACAGGTTACAAAGCAAATCAAAACCTAAGATTTTTCGCCAAATATAGGCATCTACCACGAATCCCTTCCTGAAACCAATAGCACTCAAACCGTTATTGCTACAGAAAGGCCACTAATCAGTATCTTAAAACGAGTGTCACCTTCTCCTGTAATCGAAACCTCCCACGAACCAAATATTCCATTTATCACCGGTGGCGGGCTGTACCAACAACGGGTGGATACCGAAACAATAATGTGTGTAAAAATACAATTTTTTATTAAAAACCATTTTAACTTTGTCTTGAAACATAGGTACTAGGTATCGATATATCAAACTGTAAACATCGATATATTTTGCCCAAACCTATTGCACGGATAAAAATGGGTGCGACCGATGACGTAGTCGTCAGTACTGGATAGTTTCGATACGTCCCGTAGTGAATTCGGTAACTATCCGTCGCATCTCCGCGCGTCCAATCAACGCTGAGTCGTGGCCCATTCGCCGGTAGCGCGGGCGCTCCAATGCCACCCGTTAGCGCGCGTTGAAATCGACTACGCCGCGCCCGTCGCGGTGCTGGCACAAAAGGCACGACCGCACAAAACTGTCGGTCGAATATCTATATCCGATACCACGAGAGAACGCATACTGCTCGTGCATCCAAACAATACAATTTCTCCCACCGTCGGGTCGGTTGATCATGTTTTGTAGTGGGTATGCGCGAAAATATACGAGTTTTGGTTCGCCGCCGTGTGTGTACGCTCGTGACACAGAATACATTCGCCCTACAGGAGTGGATCGAACGGACAGACACCTAATCTCAAACGTTTAACCCAAAGACGTGGTCATGATCCGGGTCAGCTCGGTACCTCCACTTAAGTGGCGGCTCAGACGTGTAGTTGAGGTTTTACACGTCTCCGACAAGGTACTACCTACGCGTGGTGCGCGTTCGGACCTCGCACGGCGTAGTCACTCGGCCCGTCGCAAAAATTATATTTTAATCCACTCAATGATATGTATACCTCTTATTTTTGTTTCACGTTTCTAGTCTTATAATATAAAATGTTTAAAACTGATGTCTAAAACATTATTATTATTTAATATTCACCACGCATCGCGTGCTACGAATTATACTTGTACCAGTATTCATTTTTTTTACCAGTCCGTTAGTGATCCATCCTTTAGTACTGTAGAAGAAGAGAAATATAAAGTTCCTCTTTTCAATGGAGAAAACTTTAGTAACTGGAAATACTGAATGGAAACCTTACTTGAAGAACAAAATTTGCTACGGACCGTGAGGACCGAAAAAAGTGCACATCATGTCGCTGGTGAAGTTAAGGAGCTCAATGCATTGAGAAAAAGTAAATCAATACTTATGTAAAGAAAAGCTTAGTCTTCTAACATAAGTAAAAGGTAAAGAGATTCCGTTAAAAATTTGGGAAGCACTTACTGAAATATTCGAACGAAAAGGGATAAAAAGTTAATTGTTCACAATAAGATGCCTTTTGTTACTCAAATTTGATGAAAAGCAGAAACTAGTATTTCATTTCATTCAATCATGATAACAACGCCGAAGGAATGTACATTAATATCAATCGAGTAGAGTATGAGGGAGATTAAACCCCTGTCCCCGAGATCGTCCCTGGGTGAGACCTTAAATGAGGGAGGGGTGTCTAAAAATCCATAACTTCGGGATCAACGCGACTTCGACAATAATAATATTATTGTAACATTTGTAATAATATGTTCGAAAACGGGGAGGGGGAAATGAAAAAAGAAGTCCATACTATTTTTAACTAATACTTACATTTCTTACATTTTCCTACGTTTTTTCGGTTTTTCGTATTTGATTTGAAAACTCAAAAAATGACCTCTTTAAGATGCCTCCCCACACCGATTTCCT